CCTGGCTAGGTAAAGCTCTGTGCTAGAGCTAGTAAAAATACTCAGGTTAACACATAGAACGTATTCTAATACCCATCACACACAACTTAATTATTATTTTATCGAAGCAACTACTGATCATTTAACAACAGAGAAGAGAATATTGCTACCTCTTGTGTTGAAAATATTGTCGCGTGAAAAAAAGCCTAGTAGAATTAATTATATAATAATCAAAATATAAAAATCCTAAAGATACTTTAATGTGTATGGTAATGATATTGTATAAGATTACCTGTAGGTATCCCTTATTTTACCATTGACAAATCTGCAAGAAATTTACCTGAAACAAAGCAAAATTTTAATAAAAATGTGTTATGATTAAAGGCCAATAATATTATATACAAACAAGAGGTAGGTACGTCACCAACGCACAAAACGCGTGCTCTGAATTGGTCCTAATTAGGACCGCTGCGAGCGACATACTAATAAATTGTAGAAAATTCATAAAATGACTTCCTGTATATTCTGAAAATGCACAAATTACGACAAAAAGGGTATACATATAAAGTTAAAGGAATATCATACCACAGGTGTGAGTTTTGTCCTAAAATGCATTTATAGATGTATGTATAGTGTTACGGAACAAATATTTTGTGCAAGAAGTGTGACTAAAACGTATCTTCCTTAAAATATCATTCTTAAAAGGTGATACAACAGCTTACTTCAAAGTACTGGTTACCACTTATTAGACAACACAGGAATATTTCTGGAGTGAACATTGTTTGTTAAGTTCTTTGCAGAACTTTTAACCACTAGGCTAATTATTTTCTATCTTATTTCTTCGTGTACCTCTACGGTATTCGTTCTGGCAGTTAAACATCGGATTTTTTTGACATTAACCATCAAACAACCAGGTAATTTCCACATGTTGGCTCTGCGATGATATATGTCTAAGACCTGTATGACTAAATATTTAGGAGAAAAAAAAACATAATTATATTGACTCTGTACTCTGTACTAGCTGATAAACTGTTGGAGACAGTGCAGAGTTTTTAATGCATACGACACGACATGAATCTCGAGTAAAAAATTATTTGTATTACCTAGTTGATTTTTGACTTGAGCGGCCTGTATTTCATCATTATTTAGTGTAAACTTATATAAAACAACTGTATTCAGGCCTAAGATTCGTGACGGCCATTACAAAGCGGGAATTCGTTGACACATTTAAATTTTATGTGCAGTGTGTGGTTTAACTGCCGTGCACTGCCGTTTTGTTTAAATGGGTTTCCAAGTTGCATCAACAATACTGATTGATCTCTTCTATACCTACTGAGAATGAATATAACTAATAAATTTATAGGTTGTCAGGAAAATCTCCTCATGGTAGACCCTTAGCAAATTACAACACCACAATCAAAAACAATTTGGATCGCTCCGTTTTGAAGCGATCCTTACAGGGTTTATAAGTAGGTGGGGGTTAATTTGGCATAGAGTAAGCCCCTTCGGTTTCTCTATGCTAAGTGAACATCGTTGGATATGGCAGCTAGGACTTGCTGATCAATCCAGCCATTGCTGTATAGAATAGAATAGAATATGCTTTATTGTACACCAAGTTAAATATTACAGATGGATATGTACAATGATAATAGCAACCTTATTGATAATAGCAATCTCTTACAGGCAAACTGTATTGCGTCGTTTGTCTTGTTGACGTGAGGTCTTATTTATGTTGGTTATATCCTTAAAATCTTACTTTCTAATGTCTTATTACAAATCTTTTTTTTAATAAGGAAGCATTTATGTACAAATACCTACATATTATAATGTAGGTACTATGTAAGCGTGTGCATAGAACTAATATACATATGTGTTTTATAATAATTACTTTTGCATTCGCTAACAAGTCTGCTGAAGTACTTTCAGTGGTTTTCTCATCTATTAATTCCTACTTATTTTTATACATGTTAAACTACACAATAGAAAACGGTAGATACGAGTAATAAAAAATGCACCAGAGTCAAAAACTTCAGAAACGGATCCGTCTATTCTTTTCCGTTTTTGCTTTGTTCTGATTTAGAATTTAACTCTAAAAAGTATCAATAATGTATACCTATCCTAAACAATGTGTTTAATTATACATAGCTGAGTAAATGAGAGGCAGTAGACATTTACATTTGTAGACTCTTTACACAAATCATCACATCAACAGCCTTTAACAGTCCACTGCTGGACATAAGCCTCTCCTTAGAAAGGAGGTTTTGGCCTACTATACCACGCTGGGCAGACGGGTTGGTATAGGGTTTCGTCGTGGTTAACCCCCTGGCGCCTCAATCGTGGTCAACTCGGTCCTCGTACCGGTTCGGGCCCAGATGAAATATCTGGGCCTGATCCTCGACGGGAGGTGGGATCCGCGTGGAGGTGGGCGGCGTCCGCGTGTGCCGGACGTCGCCTAAAGAGAGGAACATCAACATTGAGATGGAGCCCGCACCAGGAGCGGGCTGGCGCTAGGAGGGGTCCGGATGTCTTAACAACAGCTGTTCCCGGATCCCTCCTGTTACAGGCGCAGAGTGGCACACCGTGTGGTTTTAGTCGGTCCGAGTCCGACACACCACCCCGCCGCAAACCCCGGAGGGGTGACGGTCCGAGGGGATTTCCACACGTTAAAAAAAAAAAAAAAAAAGGGTTTGTGTCAAGTTTTCCTTCTCTCTGCAGTGTTGTTGTTCTGCGTAGTTTACTCCCTCAGTCGGCTCTTACGACACCCACGGGATGAATAGGGGTGGTGACATTCTGTATTCTTAATCCGTCACCACACGGACAAAACACACAAATATCGAGACTGAAATCTTTATTATGGAAACTGACTAATACTTGATGCTCCGATCCCTTCACCACGAATCAAAGGACGAATATTTCGTAACATAGGAAACGTTCAATTAATTATGTAAGACAATGCGAGTGTGCGCGTAATTGAGATGTTGAGTGTTTTGAAGGCGTGGGCGGGAAGGTATGCGGCACGCGCGGGTAATGAGCGCCGAGGAGTCGCTGCAGGAAGCTGTCACTTGTCGCGAGGAGCTGAGGAAGTGTGGAGCTCTGGTCATTGCGCGCTGACCTGACGCCGCCGCACCACGCCGCCCGCGCCCTTTAACTGCATCTCATAGAGACTGCAACGTCGTCTCAACGTTTTGTGTGCCGGTCAACTCCTGTTCTATACTTAGCAGTATTGTGGAAGATCGTAAAGTACACCGAAGTAATATTCGCAACAGGAATTTAATGGCGGATGTGTGACTGCACATACGGAATAATTCGGATTAACAAGGGCGGTCTTGGAGGTAATTCCTTAATTTGAATTTGCATAATGTGTGTTATTTAGTTGTGGTAGTAGTTTTTAAAATCTTGTTTTTTAATCATTTTAATCAAAAGTACAATACAGAACAAGAATTAAGTATAACACTAGTTGCAGTATATCTCATTTGGGTCATTGTGTTTATATTATTGTAGGAAACTAAAAATACTTAATGTTAAGTGAATTTTAAATTTTAAAGACCTTACTTATTAGTAGCTAATAGAATCTTTACACTATTAGTATTTGTTAGTTGTGTTAACAGCTGCTTTCTTTGGTGGAACGCTTGAATCGTAGCTGCAAAATAAGAAAGTAAGGATACTTTCTTGCTGGACCGCTTAGCTACTTTATTTCAGTTTAGAATTTAATAACTACGTATAGTTGGATCGATACAAACGGCTCTATTCTAGTTTGTAATCATCATCATCATCATCACCTCAGCCTATGCTTGACCACTGCTGGACATAGGCCTCTCCCAATGATTTCCATATTTCCATTTCCATTTAGTTTGTAATATATTGCTCTAAAAGATATAGAGAGAGAGATAGATAAAGAAGAGTGTAAAAGATAAGATAAAAGTACAGTCGATTGGGAAACTGGAGTTCTCTATTCCTAGTATATTTGTTGAAACGACCGGATGGCGAAGTGGTTTGTGCAACGGACTGCTATTCCAAAGGTCGCGGGTTCGATTCCCGCTCAAGTCAAACATTTGTGTGCATGAACATTTGATGTTTGATTTGGTCTGGGTGTTTCTATGTATAATAGGTATGTATTTACAAAAAAAAAATATATATGTATTTATATCAGTTGTCTAGTACCCATAGTACAAGCTCTGCTTAGTTTGGGACTAGATGGTGTTGTGTGTATGTGGTATAATATATTATATTATATATTATATTAATCTGCTCACCATTGTACTACACCAATTTGTTAAAAACCTCACGTTAAATACTTAGTTATAGTAATCTAAATGCTAACAAAGGTATATAAATAGCTCATCTTTATTTAACTTATAAGCATTCCAGCTTATTTACATGCAGTGTTTATCAAAATTACGCATTAAATCTGGGAAATTTGAAACTACACAAAAGCTAACGTAAGGTTATCGTTTGTCATGTGAAAATACTCTTACAAGACTATAAAGCTCGCTGAGTATTTATTATTTTTAAGTTTATTCTCTGACAGTAAGAGTAATAAGTTACATAAGTATATATTAGAATACATGTACATATTTACAAAGAAAGACATAAATACCACATCACATCATCATCACATCAACAGCCTTTAATAGTCCACTGCTGGACATAGGCCTCTCCTTAGAAAGAAGGTTTTGGCCTACTATACCACGCTGGCCAGGCGGGTTGGTATAGGGTTTGTGTCAAGTTTTCCGTCTTTTTGCAGTGCTGGTGTCCTGCGTTGTTTTGCGCCCTTAGTCGGCTTTTACGACACCCACGGGATGAATTGGGGAAGTGACATTCCGTATTCTTAATCCAACATACAAAAAAGATCAAAGAATGTCTTACATTATGTAAGTACATTTTTTGGGCGTCCTTCTTCTACTCTTGTCCCTCTGATAAATAGAGGGTACACCGGAAGAATAGAAAGGAAACAAAGAGGTTTTGGAGCAGTAGAATTCGTCTTTACATCGAACTCAATTCAGTTGTGTCTTATGATAGACATGGACTGTCCAAGTAGGGGTACTAATTCCAGGCTCTCCAGAAATAGTGAAGCTTTCTCGTCAAGAGTTGGTGCATACCGCGTCGCAGGTATACCCTTGAACGATCCTCCTGAGACCACCGGTATAGGCTAAAATAATTTATTTGAACATCATCTGGCGGTTTATTGAAAAATTACCTACTAATTGATACTGATTGATAGACTAGATAGTACGGTCCGTTAATCATAGGTATCTACGGCTGATTAAATAGTTTTTCACTACTGTTTACATTAATTTTTATGTACCTAATTGTTTTGCGTGCACCAACATGTCGTCAAATCAATGAGGTAAATATTTATTTTTACTAAGTTTTTGGTGTTTTTTTTTTAATTGTTTGCAATAGTACAAGTATCGACGAAGTGTATTAAGAATAATAGTTTTCTCTTAAAAAGTTTGTTCAACGGATTCTTCGTCATATCATAGATAATACTTTGGGCACTCTACACAAGAAAAATGCTCTTTTTAGGTTTGAGGGACGATCGCAATTCGGACCTAATATTGAATCTTGACGTGTCAGATTGTGAAGACATTGACGAAGATGAGGAGGATGCAGGTGGTTATGGAAGGTATCAACGAGGACGTAGTACCCTGAGAATCTCAAAGCGAATGGGAAGAGTCTGATGAAGAGCCCCTTTCCAATGTTGCTCATTCATCTAGTACTTCTGCTTTTTGTCGAGCCATTAATCGGCCTTTGTTATGGATGCGCTCTAATATCTTCGATGATACCCTGGATATTGATCCAACACTAGAAGAACTACCTTCGATCAAAACTTCTCACGAATACTCCTCCAGGTATATTCATCCCCTCTTTTCTGATACAACTTCAAATTATACAAATTTGTCTGGCGTTAATCGAACTGGCAAATCATAAGAATGTTTTGGTCAGAAGAAACGAGTGAAGCTCGTATCCGAAACTATGACTCGTAATAAATATTTCAACATCAGGTCAGACTTCAAAGTCGTGGATGACCAACAAGTTCCTGAAACTATGAGGGAGGTAGATAGATTCTGGAAGATTCGTCCGATAGTTTCACAAATTGAAAAGGAATGTAGAGAAAATCTAAGAGAAGATAATGTAGCCGTAGATAAACAAGTTTTACCTTTTACCGGCAAATGCAAACAGAAGCAGGTAGTGAAAGAACAATCGAATCCCGAAGGAATTAAAGTGTTTCTAATTGCTAATTCCAATGGTCTTCCTCTTGACCTGGAAATAGGTACATTAATTGTTTCCGCCCTGCATCCATCGCCAGAGAATTTAGCCTCCAAAGACGTCGATTTATACTGACCGATATTTTAGTCCACTACCTCAGAGGCTAGCAGAACTAGTGGAAAAAGTATTCGCGTCTTCTTCTAGGAAGCGCAGAGTCGTGGAACCTGTTCCTCACGTTTCGAAGAGGCTGATGGAGGCACAGCACTTACCTACCTGTTTGTGTCAAAGGAAACCAAAGCAAGTGTCGGATGAGGGGTTGTAACCATCTCACTTTTGTAAAATGTTCCAAGTGTTACATTTTTCTAAGTTTCAATGTTAATAGAAACTGTTTCTATGATGAACATACAAAAACAATAATTATAAATAAATGATACAACATGTCAGGATTTCATTCAGACCCATAATATCCCCTGTGATAACCCCTATTTTGAGGTTGTGGTGGGGATAGGATTTATTTTTTTATTATTTTCTTATTTTTGATGCATCAAATAACACCCAAACAAAAATTCCCCAGATCCGACAAATTTTTATACCATGTGCCTCAGGAGGATAATTACGACGCCTTTGACCTAACGATAGGTCCGACATAAAAGACACCACTGAAGTCTTGTCAATAAAATTATAAATATAGGTATATAGTGACAGAAAAAGGTATATTGTATACTAAGCAAATACAAAAGTTGTTTTAGTGTTTGCGCTGTAACTAGGATGCGATGTAAGGCTAACGATAACACGAGTTGAAGATCAAAATTGACCCAGATTAAAGCAAATTTCTTGTTAATTGCATGTATTCATTAACGGGTACGATACATATATTATAAGAATATTCAGGTCGGGGCAGGGATCGGAGATTCTTGACCTGTTATCACGCGGACAGGACGGCGCGCTGATACCGCCCGCACTCTGCCGCGAGCTCGCTCTGTTGATGTCGTTACTCTGAAAGTTAAACTAACAGACGTTTTGGGAAGACGGTTTTATTTTCATGTAAGATTTTAATTCTTATTTATTTAAATAATAATAAAAAATGTACCACATGAAGAAGACAAGTCAATTGTTAAGTTTAAAAGGAACCAAACGAATGCGGCATTGGTTCTTTAAAATATGAGTGGTCCTTAAAAGAAAATATATTTTTTAAATTCCCTTTTGGAAAAGCCAAAAATAATTTAAAATAGTTTTAAGTTCAGTGTACGTGTTTATTATTAAGAAACAGCATGTGGCGTCTGGCGCTGGTGCTGTGGTGCGCGGCGGCAACGCACGGCTGTGAGCTGAACTTTGGCGTCGGAGCAGCGCCCAAGTCTCCAGGAGACAACTTCTACCGACTTATCATCAACGGTGACGTGGAGCGGTATGCACCAGGAGAACGATATGTTGGTCAGTACGTGCAAGTATTCCTATTATGAACTTAGAATATCGATAACGGTAGTTATATTTGGTTCATTTACTTGTTTATCAAAGACGAACTAGATTCGGACTCGTAGGTTTTCTTTGAAGGCATGAGTCGGCCTGGAGCAACGGTTTCAGACGTCACACTTGTATATCTTTAATAGATATGAATACCACTCAATAAATATTTTACTATAGTATACTTGTTATTTTTATAGAGAAATGGCAAATATGCATATATTTATTTAAATCATGATTTTCCACAGAGTGAAATAAGTGTGTTTTAACACTTAATTTCTTGTGATGGTAAGATTCATTTATTAAGTAGGTATATTGATGATTATCTATTTATTAGAGAGATTACATTGTAAGTGTATAATTAATAAAAAGTTATATGTTTTTAAAATCAAAAGAAGACTAGTAACGTGGGTGTAGCAAAATGTTAGGAATTATATTTAGGGTTCAGCAACGCTTCTGCGGTTTAAAAAACTACAAGTTATCTATGTAATAGATATTACTGACTTAATACAATTGCTAGTATTGTTGTCCATTGATCGATCGATTTTGACAATACCTCGTACGAAAGAAATCTATACTAATATTATAAAGCTGAAGAGTTTGTTTGTTTGAACGCGCTAATCTCAGGAACTACTGGTCCGATTTGAAAAATTCTTTCAGTGTTAGATAGCCCATTTATCGAGGAAGGCTATAGGCTATATATTATCAGGCTAAGACCAATAGGTGCTGAGCACCTATGAAGAATGTTTCAAAAACGGAGAAAACTTATTACTATTGAGAGACGCAGACGAAGTTGCGCGGGTCAGCTAGTATGTAACAAACTTCTGATGGCACACAAAGACCTTTGTATGTAGAAACTCCCTTGAAATCGTATCAGTATGTAACGGATGCAGTTTCTTTATCGAATACGTGGAATTGGTAGGTTTTAGTATTATGATCACTGGTCACATTGTTACAATGATTTCAAACAAAATTTTGTTAATTTAGAACTCATTATCAACTGTTAACGTATCTTTTGTTAACGGTTATTTGACGAGTTTGAAATTCTAGGGGATATGAACACATGATGTTTTTTTTTAATGTAGGTTTAGTTGTCCTATTATGGGATCCTAAAGAGTTGCCCTATTGACATAAAGTTACTCTGAAATAGGTTCTCCGTATTGAATTTATTAATAATAAAATAATTAATTTATTGTTTTGTATAAAAATAATCCAAAGATAATATTATAAAACAATTTTTAATACGAACTGTTTACATAAAATTCCTTTGCTTCGTCGCTTTATTGCGACTGCATTTTACGAAGGCCAAAACTACAATCTTTTTATACATATTTTATTTTATTTTTAATAGACAAGTCCCGTACCAGAAATACAAAACTGTGTCGCGGGAGAACCCACAAACATACATGAAATGTACACAAAGAACACCTTTTTTATTTTTTTTTTCCGTGCGGAAATCCCCTCGGATACCACCTGTCGGTGGCATGTCGGACTCGAACCGACTAAAACCGCACGCCTTCGCCGGGTACTAATAGCTGGGGAACCAGGTATACCCTAGAAAGGAAGGCCCTGGTGCCCCGTGTCATCATACCTCGGGTCATCTACAGACGAGTAGACGACCCCCGCCCCGTGTGGGAACCCCATGTTCCCCGTGCTCCCTGGAAGCGAGCGCACTTCGCAACGCGCTCGCCGCCACCCCGGCCTGCTTCTGCTAGGGTGACAGATGGCCTCACCTGTCACCCCCAGGCCTGCGCTTATGGAGGACGGGGGTCGTTCTGCGACCTCCGGCGCCTGAGTCGCCTGCGCTGCCTGGCCGTGCCCGGGCCTGGCGGGCCGGGAGAGTTTTAAACCTCTCCCGGTCCCGCTCCGCCGTCTCCTTCGCGAGCATAACTTGCTCGCAGAAGGAGACGGCAGAGTTCCACGCACTCTCGCTCCGCACGATAGCCGCAATCAGGCTATCGAGCGAGAGAACTCCCACTCCGATGGCCGCCACGAGGTCTCGCCTCTGCTCAACCCACGCCGGGCACTCTGCCAGCGTGTGGAGAGCCGTGTCCACGGTCTGGCCATCGCAGTGGTGGCACTCAGGCGTTGGCTCCTTGCGGATCAGACACAGGTGATCTCCGAAACATCCCTTCCCAGTGATCACCTGCGTCAATCGGTATGAGAGGGTCCCGTGACGCCTCTCGAGCCAATCCTCCATAACGGGTCTTACCGCCGCAATGACGGCGTGCCCAACACAAAGAACACCTAGACTCAGAACAACAATTTGTGGCTCATACAAAGTGTTAGTGTATCGATCTAAGTGGCGTGCAATGGGAGAGGCCTATGTCCAGCAGTGGACTGCGATAGGCTGATGATGATGATGATGATGATGACAAAGTGTTATCCCATATGGGGATTTAACCCACGACACTCAGCGTAGTCGGAAGTGGCGATGTGACTGCTTAAACCACTACGCCATCCATGCAGTCTATATATAAATATCTAACTCTTCGATATTTTTCCAGTGACTCTGGTGGGCTCCCGCACCCACGACGTGGTGCAGCAGTTCACCCGCTTCCGGATGATTCTTGATCCATTGGATCCCGCTGCTGTTCGCGCTCCGAGCAAGCAGGGTCAGTTCCAGCTCTTTGCCGACACTCTGACTAAGTTCGACGAGGAGTGCACGAATTCCGTTGTTGAAGCTGATGATCTGCCGAAGACGGAGGTGCAAGTCATGTGGAAGGCGCCTCCCAGTGGCTCAGGATGTGTACTTCTTAAGTGAGTATTTTGAATTTTATTATAAGAAATATCTATATTTTTATAGCTCTTACTACTGCTTACTAAAGAGAAAATTCTAAATATTAGTATTGCTTTATATTAGGTTTTTTATTGTTAAAAGACTTGTATAAGAAGACTTTAAAAGCTGAGCTTTTTCAGAGCCATGATTTTCGAGAACTCAAGCCGATGGTACGCTGAGGACGGTCAGCTGACCAAACGAGTTTGTGAAGACACATCCTTATTGAACAGTGAATGTTGTGCCTGCGATGCTGCCAAGTACAAGGTAAGTAAGCATCTACTTATATTTAATTATTTCCTAGGAAAAAAACTGTACTTCTTGTATATCATTTGGCACGGACATACACGCCATTTATCGTCATAACTAAGCTACCTGTTACCCTGATACTGCTGCTGCTTCTCTAGATGACAGGAAAAACAAATCAGGTCTCTTTTTTCATAAGCTGATCAAACGCACCTACTGTAAACTATTTTTCCACAGTAATACTTTGCTTGTTTCCCGCTGGGTACAATGATTCGTCCGAAACGGAACTTCCATAGTTGCAAATTTATTCCCATTTATGTTTGTCACAGATGGTGTTCGAAGGGCTCTGGTCGCCGGCCACTCACCCAAAGAACTTCCCCGTGGAAGCGATGTGGCTGACCCACTTCTCTGACGTCATCGGAGCTACACACCGCAAGAACTTCAAGTTCTGGGGCGAGGGCGAAATCGCCAGTGATGGGTTTAGGTATAATAAAACAAGTCTACACATTGTATAAGAGCCACAATTTACCCGAATGCCAAGGAAGGGTTATGTTTTTGGCTCGTATGTTGAATATTTGTTAGTAAATTTCTTTATTACCTCGTATCTTCCAAATAACTAGATGTATTTCACAGTTAAGGTATTGTTTTTTTCCGTCTGAAAAACCCAAGTGTCCTTAAATGGCTTTTTTTAAAAGAAAAAACAAAATGGCGGATCTTTGGCTTAAAATAGCGATAGGTTATTTAAAAAAAATAACCAAACCTATCGAGTAGCGTATCAAAATCAAGAAAATTGAAAGCCAAACATAAATATATATAAATTATGTATTCAAATTTAATAAGGAATAATAAATTGATTGTATAAAATTTTGAATAGAATAGAAATTTAATGTTTGTATGTTGACCTCGTGCTGTTTCGGTCTTTTCTGTGCATTACTTTTAAATACTTACTTTTGTTTGTTTATCGTTTATCATACCCGGGCGTATCAATGCCGTATTGTACGACCAGTGATCGTATATTTTCAAAGTATCTTAAGGAATCGGTAGTTAAATTGTAATAATTCGAACAATACGGATACTAACGCAGAACCATATTCATTGATAAACAGAAACCATCTAAACGTAATTTTTTTTAAGAAATAGTGTTTAGTATTGCATATCACGGATGCAAAGATAAGGATAAGTATATCACGGATGCAAACACTATTTCTTTTTTCTTTTTGTTTTATTTGCTTATGTCCAGCAGTGGACTATTAAAGGCTGTTGATGTGTGATAATGACTATAATCATCCGTGATATTACATAAAATAACTGAACTTTTCCAGATCTCTAGCCGAGTGGGGCTCGGTAGGGCTGATGGAGCGAGAGTTGCGTCAGGAAGGCGCCAAGCTGCGGTCCATCGTGAAAGCTCAGGGGCTGTGGCACCCTCGCGTCAACTCCAACACCTCGGCCACCTTCACAGTGGACAGGAAAAGGCATGTTGTTTCACTCGCTTCTATGTTCGGTGAGTAGAAAAACTAATATATAAGTATGCAAATGAAGGAAAAATACTGATATTGTAGATATCTTTTTTTATTAAAAAAAAATGGCAAAGAGTAGTAGTAATATCTTCAAATAGGGTTTGATGTATTGTATCTTTCATTTAAGCTTATCTAGCTTTAAATGTTTGAGATGGTGCGAACCTGGGTTTAAAAATAAACTTAATTTAATGCTGGGGAGCAGTACGAATCTTTTCTTGTTAAAATTAAATTAATTTATCGCTTTTACCTACGTACTACTTTTTTATATTTTTAATGAAAGTGAGATTCTATAGAAAGTGAAATGTAATAAAAAATTCGAGTAAAATCTGTAAAAATAGAGTCGAATTACATTTAATGTTTCTGCTGGAAGTATCTGTTACGACGTGTTTGTTACTCGTATACCAACTTAAATTGGTATTATTACATGGAGGTGTATAATACTTAAGTGATAATTAGACATGATCTTTAAAATCTACAACAAAAAATATCTACTAGGGTTTGGAAGAATTACTAATAAACTTTGTTTTCTTTTGCTGGAAAGAAAATTAACAGTACTTGTCGATGAAAAATAAATAAAACTATTGTAATTAGATTACCCTAAAAACTACGATCAGCTGTCTTTGCAATAAATCCATGGATATATACACTCACGCTTTTATCCCTGACGGGGTAAGCAGAGTCACATTTCACCATTACTTTACAGCTGGCTTTTGCTCGCGGCCCCGCTCGCGTGTATGTCAGTTATCGCGGTAAAAAGCCCATGTCCTTCCTCAAGAATCAAACTGTCTCCATACTAAATTTCATCTAAATCAGTTAAGCCATTTGTGCCAGAAACTTCCACCCCTCTTTTCACCCCGTTAAATAGTGATACCTGGGATAAAAACTATTCTATGTCCTTTCCTTGGACTCTCTCTATAACTAATTTCATCTTAATCGTTTCAGCGTGAAGAGGTAACAGACAGACAGACAGACAGACATCCTTTCGCATTTATAATATTAATAGGGATTAGTATGGATTACCCTTTACTTCATAGAGAACTAGTCTATTGCCGGCAACTGGGAACTTCAGATATAAGAAGAAACAAAAGGCTATAAGACAGTGAGAATTGGTATAGGCGTAATCAGAATTAACTGTGTGTTTTATAATAATCATAAATAAATATTTTCGGACAACTGACACACAACGCCATCTAGTTTCAAACTAAGCAGAGACTGATAGAATACTTATATATTTTACATTTAAAACACAAACAAATATTTGCAGATTATAGAAACATTTGGTTCGACCTGGATATCGAACCCGAGACCTCAGCACCTTTATATAAAACAGTAAAGTTTTCATTTCTATTTTAGGACCGTCTCCTGACTGGGTGGTCGGCGTGAGCGGACTGAACCTCTGTCAGAAGGACTGCACGTGGGTCGAGTCGAAGATTGTTGACTTATTGCCATACGACGCGGGCACCGACAATGGCGTATCTTATCTGGTATTTATTTATTTTTAATCGACTTTAAAAAAGTATGTTTATCCGTGTCCTGGAAATCACAGTAGGTAGCAGTTCTGCTTAGTTTGGGTCTCTGTGTTGTGTAAAAACAGATATCATTTTAATTTCCAAAAGTATGGTCATCCTGAGAGAACTGTTAATAACGAGCATCCTTTACTCCTCTCGTCCTCTACTCATCAAAGCTATCATCAATTTTATTACAATTCCAGTCACCAAACTCCGAAACAGTTCCCCGTGAGAAAATGTACCGCATCACCCCCATGTACCCAGAAGATCCCCGAGCTCCATTCTATAACCCTGGCGCAAAGGAAGTCCCACCGCTGGCGAGGCTATACCTCACCAGGGAGAAACTCATCTCCAGTTCCTGTGACGAGGAAGTGTTGCAGTCTCAGGTTATTGAGGTAGAGGAGAATACCCAGACTGTGAATAGACGTGAGTAGAACAGCGCATGCTTATAGTAACTATTGTTCGCATATTGGTCGAAATTCGACCATAATATACTTTGTATATATAGATTTTTGGTTTTGTGGACATTGACCTGGGATCAAACAGAATTAAAAAGAAGAAAGACAGATCTTACATCTTTTCGAAGCAATTAGTACATACCCGATCCCTACGCGAGGACATCGTCGTCCGTCCATACATTTATATCCTACATCATCATCATCATCACATCAACAGCCTTTAACAGTCCACTGCTGAACATAAGCCTCTCCTTAGAAAGGAGGTTTTGGCCTACTATACCAGACGGCCAGACGGGTTGGTATAGGGTTTGTGTCAAGTTTTCCTTCTCTCTGCAGTGCTGTTGTCCTGCGTTTTGCTCCCTTAGTCGCCTCTTACGACACCCACGAGATGAATAGGGGTGGTGACACTCTGTATTCTTAATCCGTCACCACACGGACCATATCTTACATATGGAAACCTTATTGTTTATGGAATATTAAACTAGAATACATGTATTCTCAGCGGAATGCGCGGTGACCGATTGGAGCGTGTGGTCGCAGTGCTCTGTGAGCTGCGGCAAGGGGTTGCGCATGCGCACGCGCGAGTACCGTATGCCGCAGAAGGCGCAAATGTTCCAGTGCGACAGGCAGCTCATCTCCAAGGAGATGTGCGTCGCAGATGTAGCGGAGTGCGAGTGAGTAACAGATTTAACTATATGTTATACTGTAAGTGCTTCTCCTTACAACACTGACTGCACAGATGGCGTAGTGGTTGAAGAGGGCACCTCGCCGCTTCCTACTGCGCTGGGTTGTGGTTTCGATCCCCACATGGGACAACACTTTGTATGATCTACAAATTGTTGTTCTGAGTCTGGGTGTTCTCTGTGTCCAGTTCATGAATGTTTGTAAAGTCCTCCGCGAATTCCATTTATCCATTTTGAACTTATATAAATTTTTTTATGTCCAGAGGAGACAATCCTGAGCAGGATCCAGATGCCGTGCCTGCAGTAGACCCAAGCCTCGCCAGCGAATTCTGTCAGACGTCAGAGTGGGGTGCTTGGAGCGAATGTTCTGTAACGTGCGGAGTGGGAGTCAGCGTTAGGCGCAGGACCTTCCTCAACCATATGGGGCTCAAGAAATGTCCACTAGTGGAGATAGGTGAGCTTTATTTCAAGTTTTGTTAATGTGTTAGTAGGGGCGATAGAGGTTTTCACCGGATGGAACTTGACGACTTTGTGATAAAAAAAAAGATATCGACGTCCATAGTGAGCTTTAGAAATCTGCTCGAATAAGCGAACTTTGGAAAATGCTTGTCTCTTGATCTTTCTTTTGATTCCATTTTGTCAAGTTTCATCCAAAGTCCGTAGAACCCAGGCTACTCTACTACTAATGTAGAAATCGGGCTTGGGATTAGAATTAAACCAATCCCGAGATCCCGGTTAATTCTAATCCCAAGCCCGAGAATCTAATCTAATCTCTTTTCTATATATTTCCAAGTTGCCTGGACGCTTCTCAATGCTGGAGAAACGATCGAAATGTCGGGTAAACATAGATGTAGTGCCTTTTTTTGTTTTTTTTTTTCCGTACGGAAATCCCCTCGGATACCACCTGTCGGTGGCATGTCGGACTCGAACCGACTAAAATCGCACGCCGTCTCGGGTACTAATAGCCGGGGAACCAGGTATACTCTAGAAAGGAAGTCCCTGGTGCCCCGACATGCACTGTACAGTGCCTGTGCTTACCGAATATGGTTTGTCTAACGTCACTATTTTTTCGAGGTAACACTGTTAGCTTACTAAATGTAAGTAGGTACGATACTACCAGTTTCTTGTAGTTTAGCCAGCGTTTATAGACACAACTCTGTTCGTAATGCTCTCTGTAAAATCTTAGAGCTCAACTGAAAATATTTTTTTTTATTACTTGTTACAGAGGAAAGCCGCAAGTGCATGGAGCCGGAGTGCACGGAGCGAGAACGCGACGTATCCGACCCGTCGTGCCCTACTACGGACTGGGCGGCGTGGTCGCCCTGCTCGGCCTCGTGCGGTCGCGGCGTGATGTTCCGCACGCGGTTGCTGCTCGTGCCGGCCGAACGCCAGCAGGAGTGTTCCACGCGCGTTGAGCTTATGCAGCAGCGGCCCTGTCAGGAGCGCGAGAGCTGCACCATCGACATGCTCACTGCTAAACGTTAGTACGATTTACATATTAGCTTAATCGTATCACTCTCACAGTGCCGTGTGGAGACGGATTAAGAATACGGAGTGTTATCATCCCTATACATACCGTTGGTGCCGTAGGAGCCGACTAAGGGAGCACACTATGCTGAATTACAGTACTATAAAGTGAAGCGAAACTTTATACAAAACTTATGCCAGTCCGTCTCGCTAACGTGGTATAGTAGGCCGAAACCTCCTTCCTAAGAAGAGGCCTATGTATAGAAGTTGACTGTTAGGGGTTGTTGATGATGATGATGACTTGTTTTTAAATTAATTAAAGAATACATTACATTTTCTTTGTAGAACAGTTTTCCTCAATTTATGTTGCCAGTTTACACAAATTACACGCCATACGTAAACAATGATAACATTTATAAAAACAAAGTGAAATAATATAAAATCTATATCTACTAATAATGTAAAGCTTTTTTTTTTAACGAGGGGAATGCTTTTCGCACCATACCCTCAGTTGGGGAAACGCAGGGCGTGTGTGGGACTCCCGGAGAACCGGTCTACCCACTAAACCCCGCGGTGGCCTACCTCGGCAGTCAGGAGGAGCTCCAGGAACGCATCGGCGGCTTCTGGAGTCCTCCCTGCCGTACCCCATGTCTGAGGCACATCCCGGGGTGACTGTAGTCACCCTAGGGCGGGAGGCTGCCGCGCCTTTCACTGCTCTATACAGTAGGAGGCGCAACAGCGCCCCGCCATGGACAAAACCCCCCGGCCGCACCGGAGTGTCGTCTGTCTCGGGTCGTTTGCAGCGGCCACATAGCCCCAAGATGTGGCCGCAGCGACCCTAAGGCGGCGATTGGGAAGCTAACGACCTCTGCCGTGTCCCCTTCGTCGCCTCCTTCGAGCGGGATCGGCCCTCTCCCGATCCCGCTCTGCGGCCTCCTTTTGGAGCATAACGTCCTCGCAGAAAGAGACCGCGGCTGCCCATCCCTCGCCACTAGCCAGCATTCAGCCACGATCAATGCTGGCGGTGACAGGTTTCGTCCGATCTGTCCGAGCAAGACTTGACGTTCGGACTCCCACGCAGGGCAGTCCTCCAGCGTGTGCTGGGCGGAGTCCCGGTCGGACCCGCAATGGTGGCATTGTGCCGTGACCTCCCGTCCCATTCGATTCAGATACTCACCGAAGCAACCGTGCCCGGTGAGCACCTGAGTCAATCGGTAAGTGACACAGTCATTCCTCTCTACCCACGCTTCGAAGCTCGGCAGAACGGCTCCGACTGCGCGTTGGCTAGCACAGCCCTGGATTTCGAGCCATGCCTGCCAGGTCAGCAGAGCCTGCGTATGTGCGTTCCGCCTTAGCATTCCGGGATCATGATCTGGCGCGGCCCCTTCACCATTCCGACCGACAGAGCGAACTTGGTCATAGACCATCGCGTCCATGTCTGCCAGAATGTCGAAGGGTGGATATCGCGCCAGGACCGTTGCCGTCTCAAACGAGATGGTACGATAGTCCCGTACGATCCGTATGGCCATCAACCGCTGCAGGCTTCTAAGTAGAGCCCCGCAGCGGGGGCACCCGCCAAGTCTTTAGCCCAGGCGGGCGCCCCATAGAGGACAGTGGTCCCCCGAGATTGGGCAGCAGGCGATGCAGCGCACCCGCTACCCCGCGCACTCGCACACCAAAACTAACACCTAATATAATGGTAAAATAAGATTGTTGTTGAGATGAACGGCCAATTAAAGATTTGCTTAAGTCGTGTCACGTTAAGCACACATTAAATGTAATGACGAGAAGTGTATAATAATATGGCAGTAATTGTGTGGTAACATAAGACGACGAACCAAGGTAAGAGATTACAAGACTACGCTTAAAAATTATTATTTACTCATTTGAGCTATTACACACATTTGAAGTATTGCAAATAATAAATATTATTTTAATGGTTGTCCATTACTCAATACTTCGTAATAACTAAGTATGAGAGACGTGAAGTTGGAAGATAAATAAATGCTTTGCAGAAAGGTATAATTGTGTGGAGGAACGGGTGTCATGTCCCGACCCGACCCGAGGTGAGCCTGCCTGGCGGGCCGCGGCTCAACGGTTGATGTTAGGAAGTTGTACATATATATGCTAATCGGCGAGAGAAGTAGATGGCACTGTAGTATGTTTCTGTTTCTTTGTATGTGGGAGTCGCCACAATTATAATAATAAAATTATAATAGTTTCACACACTCACACACGGCCGTCTGATTCCAAACTAGGCAGAGCCTGTACTATGGTAACCAGACGGCTGATAAACATACTTATATATTTCCAAATACATACATACCTATTATGGATAAAGTACACCCAGACACAATAATTTTCCTGGGTGGGAATCGAACCTACGACCTTTAGTCTAGTAGTCAGGGCCACAAACTACTAGACCAACAGGGTTTTATCATACTATACCACACTAGCCAGACGGTTTTGTATAGGTTTGTGGCAAGTTTTCCTTCTCTTTGCAATGCTGTTGTTCTGCGCAGTTTGCTCTCTTAGTCGTCTCTTACGACACTCACGGGATGAATAGGGGTGGTGACACTCCGTATTCTTAATCCGACAACATACTGAAACGGCTGACATTGTACCGAAATTTTCTTCTGATTAATTTAGTTGCGGGTTCCATCCAAGACAGTTCCCAAGTGTCATAACTCGGTGTTTTCGTAGGTCACTGGTGTTCATCCTGGTGTACAGGAGTGGTGGACGTGTGGGAGGGATTATAATATAAGAAAATGTATATGAGTCAGCCATTTTAATCTAAGTATAGGCTGAAATTAAAATTGAAAAAATACCCTCTATCCTTAATTTTTGTGATAATTTCTAGAATTATTTGTAAGTGCCATAAATAAAGTTATAAGTACGATAAATAGGTATATATGTATTTATCTTCAATCTAAACAAACATGAAGGTGCATCAATATGGCGACCGTGAATGCTGTAATGAGTCTGTGTATAAAAATGGCGCAAAATAAAAGTCAATGTCGCATGAATTACGGTTTATCATAAAATTAACACAATAACAGCAGTTTCTAAATAAAACTTCTTGGAGTTTCTTTGCAATGCTTGCTATTTGCAATCACTACTACGAGTACTTTTACTATTGAGTAAAAAAAAATTCATTTCATTTATTACTTAGCGCACACACCCAAAGTGACAAGGAAATGTATAAAGGCAACTTTAACCTAAATCGGAGTTTAACTAAACCTAAACCTGTAGAGTGAATATTCGATATTAGATTTTCATTTTACTAATTAATCTGAAACTCTAGAAAATTCACTTTTAATTAATACATAGCTCAAAAAACAAACAAAAACAAAACTAAAACAAAAACAAAAGCTGGGTAACATATTTTGTCCGGTGTTGACGAATATTTGTTTTATAAAATTTATTAAAATTATTTATCGTTTAAGATAATAAATAATATTTAAATATCCTTTCGTCAGCGGGGTTTAATGTTTTCTATTTGTTTAAGGAATCTGCATGGAGGAAGCAGACCCTGGCCCGTGTCGCGGTCTCTACCAGCGCTGGACGTTCATGGCGGCTAAAGGCATGTGCGTGCCGTTCTCGTACGGAGGGTGCAGGGGCAACCAGAACAATTTCATCACTCAGGAAGACTGCACTAACACATGCGGTTTTATAGCCGGTTAGTACAATTCCCAATACCACATACCCATACCAAATTCATTCAAGGTACCTTCTAAATATTCGTCAATCCATCGGACTTTAAGTGTATAAGCTTACTGAATAAATGGTCCACCAAAGGAATGCACCACATAAAGGTCCGAGTTTAATGGGTTCAACTAGTGTGTTATATTACTGTGGTTGAGATGGGTTTCCAGGTTTATAGTTGAGGCTAGTGGGCCATTAATCATCACAGTAACTGTGTATCAGATCAGTATTATATGTAATTTCGACCCATAAAAATACATGTTGAGGTGACACGAGATTAAATGCTTTCAAGTCGTATACATTATAATTTTTTACAAAAAAAACTTCTACAATTAGTAAAATATTCTTAAAATGATAATGTTAAGCAGTTGGTTTGTAAATTTTAAATCTTAAATATTTATCTATAGGTATACTTACATCAGTTCATGCTTTGTCGTTTCTTGTTTCTTTGTCACCTCAGCTAAGCCAAAACCGATAACCTCGACCTTAGCAGAATGGGATAGGATGATTTAGAACGATGTAAATCTACCGATATCCAAAGTTTTTTTAAATAATGGTTGACGGAGGTAAAACTAGATAAGCTCGCTTGTTTTGTTACAACTGAACGACATTCTTTAGCAGGCAGAAACGAGATTTCCTATGATCAGGAGTATTGCTCTATATGCTCTATATGGCTTTTTTAAAACCTAACAACAGTAAATATAGACGCTATTGAAGATCAAAAATCTTTTGTTATTAATTGTACACACGGCACACCTTAACCTCAATTGTATATTTGCCAGAAAATCTGTGATCGGAATAAATAAACTACATAATAATGATTGTGGAACGTGCTTGAGTTCGTAAACTGAAAACTACATACGGGTGGCCTCGATCGAAGTTGTATCATGGCCGCTCAGAAAACCGGTGATAAGCAAAACTTTTTACAGCGTAAACGAGTTACATCAACATAAAACATACATACGTATATCCCCGAAGGAGTAGGCCGTCACTATAATTTGATCGAACTCACGTAATGGGTGCGCGAGCCTATCGCCATCAACCGGCAACTTTGGGAACTGATCATCATCACAATTATCAAAAACCTTTAGTTAGTCCACTGCTGGACATATGCCTCCCCTTAGAAAGGAGGTTTTGGCTTACTACACCACGATGGCCAGACGATTTGGTATAGGGTTTGTTTCAAGTTTTCCTTCTCTTTGTAGTGCTGTTGTCCTGCGTAGTGCGTAGTCCCTTAAACGGCTCTTACGATACCTACGGGATGAATAGGAGTGGTGACACTGCGTATTTTATTGCGTCACCACACGGACTGGACTAGTTTTCCGAATGATAAATATGGTGGAGGCTAGGGTTGGAATGAAATCACAATCACATATGATAATTATGATTTATAAACCACTGCGATTTATAATTACTATTACACTAGTGCCACTCACGAATGGTCTAAATAAAAAAAGGTCGTAATCTTTAATAAAAACAATAATTTAGATGGCATTTATCTTCGTCTATGACCAAATCACAATCACAGGTGTAACCGCTGTGACTAAATCCAATCATTTCATCATATGTTGGTCTAGTGGTTAGTGACCCTGACTGCTAAGCCGGAGGTGGTGGGTTCGACTCCCACTCAGGACAAATATTATGTGATGAGCACGGTCATTTGTTCTGCGCCTGGGTGTAATTTATCTAAAATATGTATGTATTTTAAAATATTTTAGTATGTTTATCAGCAGTCTGGTTACCATAGCACAGGCTCTGCCTAGTTTGGGTTCAGGCGACCGTGTGTGAGATGTGTAAGGTATATATTATATGATTATGAATAAAAAGTAGCAATAATTTCCATGGCTAAGTGGATGCGAGGTCATAGGGCTTCAGCGTACTTGTGTCTTACTTGCAAGTGTCCATGGCCGACGGTAGTTAGCCACCGTCTCGTATGTGTTCATAAATTTCAGAATATCTATGTAAACATACGAGCATACATACTTCCCAATTGAAACATTGTTATTTTAACTTTGCTATTTTAGCTTTCCTAGAATTATTGCCAATCGGAATATTGGAACGCAATACACGAACTTCGATTATAATTTCATAAAATACACGCGAACGAAAAGCTTTGATCACAATCAAAACGCTGATGGAGAAGTATTAGTTAAAATAAACAAAAGAAAAACAATTCAGTGCACTTGTTTTCTTGTATATACAAAACCGAACACGCGCTATTCACGCCTAGGTTCGAAGTATTCTATAGTACCTACATGACGTCACTGAAGGGTGTCAGCGGGTGACAGTGTGACGTCACCGACTCGGTTACCCGGTCAGCGCTCACCAGGCGCTGGCACATTGCGCCAAATTACAAGCGTGCCCCACTTCACTACATGTTACGACTGCGTCCAATGCCAATGATGTTTTGTTTGTTTACCATACAATGCGCAAAATATATTAGCTGGCTGACGATAATGTGTTGGTATTTCTATTAACAAATTTAACGTTCTATGTTAAATATACAAAATGGTTAAAGATTACTCACTGAAAATCACTTAGGATACTTTAAAATCAGCATACATTTTAACTTATTATTAATTCTCATACTTATGAAATTTAATAGTCACTTAACAGCAAAAAAATAGCTTTATGTAGTGACAAAAGTCGGATAGTAACATAATATTTTTACTTGAAACTGGTCATATATGATCCAAGTGAAGACTAGTTTTATGAGGTGTCGCCCTGTACAAACATACATATTTATTGCATCCATGGACAAACCCGTGTTCCAAGAAAACAAAAGAGCCTAAAAGTATTTGCAAATGATGTATAACATCTGACATCTGACCTAACATCTGTCGGCCAATTCTTATTCTAAATTTCATTAATCAAATCATAAAGCAAGCGTTCCTCGCTGTGTTACACGCTTCCGTCCCATTTTCGAAATCTCTCCCACTGAAGCTGGAAAGCGAAAGAAAATATGGTACAAATAAACCAGAGCTAAATGCACAGTCCGTCCTATAAATATTGCACACTCACAGTACGACTGAAATAAAACTCCACAGGGAGTATCTGCCTGTGTCTTAACGTAATTAATTTTATCCACTACTACGAGTAGCGGACCCGTGCAACTACGGCTGCGTCTCTCATGAAGAATAATTATTCCCCGGTATTGCAAAATTTTTCATTGGTGCTCGGCTCCTATTGGTGGTAGCATGATGTTAAATAGCATATCGCCTTCCTCTATAAATGAGCTATCCAACCATAAAAAAAAATTCCAATTAGAACCAGTAGTTTCTGAGATTGACGCGTTGCACTAATCAAACATTTCACACAAATACTGAAGTAAGGTTCGTTCCACCAGAAATCATTAGACTTCTCCGCTTTTTTGGATTTTATCGTAAAATAAAAGTAAACCTGACATTGAATTGGTCGCATCACAAAGTTTAGCGATTAATACATTTGACCCCATTATCTGCTGTCGACTTTGTTACGTCCCAATTCCACTAATAACCCACTCACCATTGATGTGGCTACATATATACAGCTATGAACATATTTATCAAATGACACTGGCTTTCTGAAAGGCTATCGCAATCTAAATAGGACACTCGAGTTTTCCAATAACAACAAAAATATATGTCTCTGTAAGTTGTATTAACTGAATGTCCAATTCTATTATTTGTAACATACGTTAAATAAGTTAAAATGAAAGAGATGGTAAAATCTTATTGGTTTAAACGGGCTTGTTTTTAAAGCGCTGTTGTGCGGGTTGTGCTTCAAACGCATGTGTACACGAGCAATTGTGTTAATATCCTTTTTGGTTTTAGGAGTAGTCCTAACAAAGACTCCTTTTAGTTTTGAGAATTTCTCTTTCTGTCCATCCATGGAGGAGCAAGGAGACGGTTAGATAGTAATAAATATCGGAACCCAATACGTCGCGTAGCAACCCAGGACGCACTTGATCCTTATTTCCATTATGTATCTTAACTTACTTAACCATACTAGAAATAACTTTTGTTTCAGTTTACAATTATTTTTGTTGATATTGTAGACAGTTTCTCCTTTAAATCATATAATCACACCTTTGACTGATTTACAAAACCTCCGTTACTTACTGCAAGACTCACGAAAGGTCTAAATTGTCAAACAAAAACGGTCTTAATCTTTGATAAAAAGAATTTTGATTCATTTTAATACCATTCATCTTTGTCTATGACGTAATCACAATCACATGTGAAATCGCTGTGACTCAAACCAATCATTTCATCGAATGAATATGATTTAAAAGAAGAAATAATTTCCATTTCTAGCGGTTAGTAATTTCGTGGGTTCGATTCACACTTTTTTTTAATGTGTGGAAAGTGACCATCGCCGCTCATGAACGTCTGCAACTCAGGGGTCACAACGCTTGCCGGCCTTTTAAGAAGGAGTATGCTCTTTTCTTGAAGGACTTATTTTTTACTAAAAATTGTGTGATAAGCAGGATCATTTGTTCTCCATCTGGGTGTACTTTATCTATAACTAGCTGAGCCTTGCCCACTTCGTTGGGCGGTAAACATTTTTACTTGTGATGCAAATTGAGTGTGATTCAGTTAGTACTGAGTGCTTTGATTTATTTCCTGACTGCCATAAGGAGTTTTATATTTTTACTGCATATGTATTTATGTATTTGCATGCCAATTTGGCTATATTACTGGGTTTTAAGCGAGTGAATGAAATGATTATGATTGAACCTAATTTCCAATCCCACGTGTAAGGGATAGATACTTATTGATAAACAAAGAGTTTCGTGTAGCAACTGTGTATTTACCGGTAATAATTGCTTTATCATGGAACCAAATGTAGATATAAACACTGTCGTTTAAATAAAACTAAATAATGGACAATAAACACGTTTTTAGACAGCCTAAATAGATAAATAATATTAAAATAATCTGCAATAGACATGCCGACGTGCAACCAACAGTTTTCAACAGCTCTGAAAGTCTT